AATGACTAAGTAGTTCTACAAGCACTTGCTGTGGTAACAACCAGTAATTAAGACCACAAACGAACTGCAGTGCTAATTCTTTAATCCTGCTTGGTCATACTGATGAAAAAAGGCATCTTTAGGCTACTATTTACCTCCTGTCCAGCCTTCAGATTTGGTCTTTAAATAAACGTGAAACTTTCTAAATTGGAAAGTCAGAGCACGGTCTTTATCCAGTCAAACAAGTTTTTGTTTTTCAAAGGTGATAACACAGTTTTCTACCCATGCAGTGCAGAGGAAGATGAACTTCACAACTCGTGTTTAGGTGGTGGAAACCAGCCTAGCTCTTCTGACACTGGTGGTGATATGTCAGCTTATAGCAATTGAGAGCCTAGCCCTTGACCTGTAAATTGTCCACACCAAGGACATCAACTGTGAAACTAGATCGATTGCATAGTAACAAGGTTACAAATTTGTGAAAATCAGCTATTGTTCTTGTACGGCAGGAAGTTCTGTTACAGCTCAGTGGCCACACTTAGAAAGAGGTGTTGTGCATGCATGTTATCGTCTGCAGTTATGGCCTATCTGAGTGCTCTCAGTGCAGTAAATCCTTCTACCTAATGAGGTCCTTACTGCAGCAGAAACTTGGTCTTTTTGCATTACATGTCTGGATGTGAGTCTTAGCCCTAAGCTGACTCTGATTTTCAGTATCAAAAGCCAGTTTAATTTATAGACTTGCAAAATATTCATAAAAACCATATCTTTCCTAAAGCACTTTAAGGAATGAGTACTTCTAGTATTAAAGCCATTTTATACATATATTTTTCTCAAACCACAGAATTTTTTCCTATAACATGTCCTTCGTAAGTGCCTTGGGGATATAAATAAGTGGCATTGATGTTCTAGTCGGCACAGGATCATGTTTGGTAGATGGCATCCTGTCCTTAGCAGACTTCCTTCTAGTGATGTCATGGAAATTATTTCTCTGCTCTTTCCAGCAGACTCTGGCCTGGCATAGTTAGAGACCACTTTATCAGGGAGGTGTAGGTGAAGGAATGGACAAAGTATGGTCTATGGTAACTCTCGGAATATGAGAAGGGCATTTACCATTTAATGCTCACCTTCTCCTCAATTTGCCTCTTGAGGCATCTGGTGTATTCGAATGATTTTCATTTTCTCTTCTAGCCCTGCCTTTTCTCCTTTTCTCCTACTCTTGTGGCTCCCTGTATCCCAAGATCTAAGGGAGTGTGGTACATAGATGCTTAATTGCAGTGGGATGCCACCCTTGCACATCAGGGTGGAAATGTGTACATGTAGGAGCTGCAAGTACAGGAGTGAAGAGAGGAAGGGGAGATCACCACTGTCCTGCCATGGTCTCTTAATCTTCCTCCCCGTGTGGCAAAACCCCTTCGGCTCTTCCTCGTTCCTCTCCATAACTCCTCTGCCAATGCGACAAAACTGCATTTTCTCTTCATGGCTGAGAAGCTTTGAGCAGGCATTGCTGCAGAGTACAGCAGTGTATCTTGACTAAACATGTTATAGCTCACAAAACATCATATGTTTTTGCTCACTGTTGCAGATACCCCAAATAAAGTCCCTAGATGCTTGGACTCTGCTGACAGAGCCATGATACAGTCCCCTTAAAACAATTGTGTCGGTCATTATAGGGTCTGGAGACTGGTGCGAGCAGTTTTGTATGTTTAAGAATGCCTTTTCCCTGATTCCAACAATATTTGGAATCAAATTGCCAGTTTAGGTGTGGCTAGTAGTGCTTGAAAGTCAAGTGAGAACAGTTGCTGTTTTGTGGCTGTTTGTGGTGTGATTTCATGAGCCTCATTTCAGCTCCTAGAGGGCAACCATCCACATCATACAGATGGCTGTTGCAGTTGGCATTGAGTGAAGTTTCCATGGATCACTCTTTGCATTTAGCCACCTCAAATGCAAAAAAAAAAAAAAAAACAAAAAAAACAAAAACACCATTACACCATTCCTATTTGTGGACACAGTCCATGCTTTCAGTGTCTCTTGGCTCTCCATGAAAAGCAGATGGTACTTCAGGCTTTCCCAGTGTCAATCCATGAGCATCTGTAAAACTGAGCTCCCACACAGGTAGGCGGAGGTGACCTGAGTACCTGTCCCAGAGGATCTCAGCACTGCCTATCTCAGCACAGGCTGTCCATCCAGGGCCAGCATGAAGCACCTCTCCTTCAGTTGGCTTAGTATCCAGACTGTGATGTCTTCAGCAGGTTTCCCTCACAGGGAAAGTAAGGCTCACCAGGCTATGTTATCTCATGCTGCTGTTTTCCTTCCAGCTTGTATGCAGAACAATCCCACACTCATAGGGTGGAAACACAGACACCTTCCTGAACCTGTCATCCAAGCCTTTCTATCATGTCTCTGACTGTGCCGTACAGCCCACGTTCATCAAAGTGTGGTGCTCTACGCCCTGTTCCCTTTGAACAGGGTATAAGTGTTTTGCATTAGAGGAGGGTTATATGGTACCTGTAGGGCTGGGCTTGTGCTGCCCATCCGTTCCTGAACTGCATGGTGACAAAATTTGGTCAGCCAGGCTAGTCCCGCCAGTCCTGCACCTACCAGGAGTATTGATAAGTGGCATTAAAAGGCAGCAGTAGGGATTTGTGGTGTCCATGCTCTAACTGTTTACCTGAATTTTTCCTCAAGTTTTCGGAGGGTAGGAAAGTTAGAAAGCAGACCTGCTGTTCATTATCTGCTTCCAGCAGGGGGAGATGGGTGCAGAGAGTTATTTCTTCTGGGAACACCTACAAAAATAACATTATTTATTTTACTCATGAGGCGCTCTCCTAGGATTTGTGTGATTCCTGCTTGTTTGGCCTTTTACACCTAGGCAACCCCTTCTTTTTGCTTCTATATGCTTCTAAAAGCAAATAAGATCTATCAGCTTTAGTTTTTGTTTTATTTTTTCCCAAGGTTTATGAGACCCTCAGGGAATTTCTTCCTCATCTCTCTGTTTATTATGATTATTATTATTATTATTAAATAGTTATGCTGTGGTGGTTCTAATGAGGATTGTATAAATGCAGAAAAAGATGAAGACATTCCCAGCACTGCCATATTAGCTGAGAGGCAGCTCAGAGTCCACAGTGATCCACCCCTCTTTGTAGGGAGGCATGGCCACATGCAGTCCCATCTCAAATCAGGATGTTACTAGAGTCTGGAGACAGGATTCCTCCCTTTTCCCTCCCTGAAACCCTGTCGTTCTCTGTATAAAACATATTGGTGCCACTTTCTATGAACTATATTTAACTAAGCATTAAATTTAGATTTAACTGGATAGTTATTGCCTCCTAAGTAAATACTCTGAGATAAGGAAATATTTAGTGAGCTCTAGCAGTTGGGTGGCAGATGCTTCTTGCATTGCATAATAGTTAATCTTCAACAAATATGTTTTCCTTACTCTGCTGGCATTTAATTATCATACAATAGCTCTTATTAAATGTAGATGAAACATATGTGGGACACCCTTGTAAAAAGGATCCATGTAACACTGGTTTGCAAGAGGGGTGCATTTCTTTCATTGGTTACTTCATATGAGACCAAGTCTTTTAGCTGTACTCGAATTCTGGCACAGGAGTGCATGGGTTTCCTGTTGGTGATGCCAATCTTCTGCCATGCCAGCAACTTGATGGCATCTTTGTCCCTTGCACTGTCCATTGCCCTAGTGTGGTGGTTACTAGCCGGAAATCAGATGCCAGCAGCATGGTCTTCTTCAGAGCAATATCCTTGTCGGGTGACATCTCTCTCTGCAATAGCTTAGGAATATCTGGTGTGTGGATTAACCCCTTTAGCTCCTCATTCTTCTCCCTCTGGTGCTATCGGTGTCAAGTCTCCTGCAGAGGAAGTGTCTGACTTGCCTCACTTTTTGGCTTGAATACAAAGCAGTCATCTCTTTTTGCCACTGCATGCGTGGCACTGGAGCAGCAGTGTCATGACCTTAGTCCTTAATTTCTGTGCCTTTAACACTTGCAGGGATTGTTTAAGTACTCATAAACAGTGCGGCCTTTCCATACCAAGGCTGCAGGGGCCAGTTTCTAGGCATTCAGAAAGCAACTGGACACATTCCTGGAAAAAAGAAAATCATTCAAGTACCATTAACTACAAAGACAGTGCCATTGGCTGGGGACATGACTTAACCACAAATCACTGGAAATAGATAAGTGCCCTGGGGCAGTGCTTCTCTTGTGCTTGTGTGTTTCCTTAGGAACTGGCTTTAAGCTACACTTGGAGACAAAACTAAGGGTTAGAGGGACCTTTGATCTGATCCCATATGCCCATTCGCATAACACACTGACATTCCTTATGTGTCTCCAGTTTGTGTCCACTGTATCCCACAAGGCTTCAGGAGCAGAGGTGAAGCAGGCATCGTACAAGTGTTTTTTTCCCTCCTGCACACACACGTAGCAGCGCTGTGATCCCGCAGGACAGCAATTCTCAGCCGATCTCCCATGGCTGTTCTTGCACCTGCTTCTCTGTACCCCTCTCAAACCACGCCTTCCCTCTTTGCTTCCCCGTCCCAGCCCCGCCGTGCTGTGGCTGCAGAAGGGTTACACTAGCGAAGCATCCCTAGAAACGGTTCTCATCCCTCCCGCAGGGCAGAGATCGGGCTGGGGAAATGGCAGGCAGGCATCAGCAGTAATACACACAGCTTATTCCTCTCCATTAATTTAATCTCCCTTCTCTTTGCGGTGGCGGTGGTATGTGGGTTGCGGGAGCGTTCCCGGGTGGGCAGCGCTGCTGCCGGCGGGCGCGGGGCTCAGCTGCGGGCGCCGGCAGCCGGGAGGACAGGCCGAGCATTCACACCGCGGGCAGCTCAATGCCGGCATTGTCTCCGCTCCGTCCCTCCGGCTGGGAAAGGAGGCGGGGGGCGGGAAGGGCTGAGTGGAGAGAGGTGGGAGGGAGGGATGTACAACTGTTTATCTGTCGAGGGGAAAGTCTGAGAGGGGAAGAAGCAAGGTTTGAGGGTGCAGAGGCAGTTGCCAAGGATGCTGCTCTGTAAATCAGTTAGCGTGTGGCTTCAGGCCGCTAAGCCAAGTTGTTTGCACTTTTGGCCACAGACCCGTTTTCCTCACTATTTTCTCTTGAGAATATTGGCCGTACCTTCCTCCATTCTCTCTGCCCTGCTCCCTGTGCCTCCCTCCCGCTCAGCATCTCCTGGCGGCTCCTGCTTTCTCCTCTCCGGTGCTGCTTCCCGCTCGCGCTCTCTTTCTCCTCCTTTCCCCAGCCCTCTCTTCCTCTCCCATCCCCTTCCCTCTCTGCTTCTCCCTCCTCCCCTTTCCTTCGTGGCTTCCCCCTCTGTCCTCCAGCCCTCATCCCTTCACAAGCCCCCTCTCCCTGCTGCAATGCCCGGCTCCCCTCCCCTTCCCAGCCGCCGTCCAGCTCCCCGAGGCCCGGCCCGGCCGCCGTTTCCCGGTCCCCCCAGGGCAGCCCCGCTCCCCGGCGAGGGCGGGTGGGGGTGCGGGGGCCTCGGGGCGGGCTGTGCCCGCGGGAGAGGGATGGGGAACGCGGCTGGCGGCTCTCTCCGCGCCCGCCGCCGCCGCTGTAGTGCCGAGCTGCCGTCTCACGAGTGTGGCTCCCTCCTCCCTCTCTCTCTCTTCTCCTCCTCCTCCCTCCCTCGCTCCGCCTGGGAAAGTGGGTTAGGAGGGAGCGCGGGGCTGGAGGCTGCACAGCCACAGGACCATCCCCTCCCGCAGCCCGGCGGCACAGGATTCCTCTTGTTCCTTTTCCTTTTTTTTTTTTTTTTTTTTTTTTTACCACCTCTCTACATCACTCTAAACGGGTCGATTTAATTGTTATTATTTTGTAATTATTTTGCTACCTGACTTTTTCCTCTTGCTTCTTTTTTCCCCCTTCTTTTTTAATTGAAGACTGTGCTAAGACTTTTTTTTCTTTTTTGAAAATCTTAAAAAAAAAAAAAAAAGACCAGGTGGGGAAAGAAGCCAACAAGAGACAGAAAAGAGCAAGAGAAAGTGGCAGCTAAGAAGGACTGTGAAATCACCTCCCCTTTCTGGGCTGTCGATCAGAGCGAGAGTTGTACATTATTATTATTGTTTTTCTTTCTACATCTATCTGTCCACATACACAGGCAGAGAGAGAGACAAGTAGAGACTGAAACTCGACAAGACCAGCCATGGTAGCAAGGGCTCAGCCTGATCGGAAACAATTACCGCTGGTCCTACTGAGATTGCTTTGCCTTCTCCCTACAGGGCTGCCAGTCCGCAGCGTGGATTTTACCCGAGGTACCGATAACATCACCGTGAGGCAAGGGGACACAGCCATCCTCAGGTAGGGCATTTTGCCAACTCTTCTGCTTCTGTGTATCTGTATTTCTATGTATGCAACGTATACATGTGACGTGATACATATTTGTGTGTATATGTCTCTGTGAGAGCGTGTGTTATTTTACCTCTGGAACTGCAGTAGCAGCAGCTGCTACAAACACGCTCTGCATGCGTGTGCTTTAATATGAAAAAATCGTAAAGCTTTTGAATACTTCTTGCCACCACTCTGCTCTGTGCAGTGCTCTGGATCAAAAGAATTTCAGTGGGGAAGATCCGCTTGTGTTAGCCAGCTCTTGTGAACGTACACTTTCCACCAGCCCTGCAGTATCAATAGAGAAATCGAAAAGGGATCCAGCTGTGCTTGCCAGATGTTCCATTGATCTTCCCGTGCTTCTTTTTTTACATATGCAAAAACTTTATCCCTGGTGCTGCCAGAACTCTTGGGCAAGTTCTTTTGGAAAACTCTGGGTTTTAATTTTATTTATTTATTTTTATGCCCTGTGTGGAGGGAAGATGGATACAATAGTTGAAAAGGCTGGTGAAAACATGGTGTAGGAGCTCTGACATTTATGAAGGTTGTATCTTTTTCAGTGTGTTGATGTTTTTGCAGGGCTACAATAAATGGGTGTATGTTGTGCCTATGCGTCTGATTGTAATGAGGGTGTCTTTGCACATGAAACCTTGCTCACTGGCAGTATTGAGTGTTATATTTCTGGTTTTCTTGTGCAGACTTTCTAAAGGTAGTTCTGACACTACTTGGGCTTTCAGTTAGGAGTGTCCCAAATAACTAAATTGCAGTAGTCTTTTCCCCGTGGGTTTTGTTTTCACATTCTGTCTTGTTCAACTTACCTGCAGTAACTTCCTTAGTGAAGGAAAATTCTCAGTGTGTGAGTGTGTGCACACACTGTGTATTATGACTATAAAACTACTGTGTGTAATTTAAAGTAAGTCTGTGATCTGTATGAAGAGCTGATAGTGCACAAACCCTGAAGCATCAAGGGAGCAATCCCCTAGCAAAGCTAACAGCAGCAGCAAAGTTTTCTTTCTCTTTCTGTGAAATAAATCCTGCTGAATGTCACCAAACGGTCTGCTACACGATCCCCTGCGTCCTGCATCCCTCCCATTTAATGATAGAGGGAAGAAGGATGCTAGAGGAGGGATGTGTGAGTGCGCTTACGCGTATCGCTTCTCTCGGCTCCCGTGTGCTCCGTTGTTTTGATCCTGGAATATTCATTCAGCAGCTTCCATTCCCCAGCTCTCCAGACTTGTTAACTCAAATGTGGGATTTATCCACATGGAGTAATAGGATTTACAGAGTAATTCATCTGCCTCGCATATGCAGTGGAAGTGGTTCAGATTAGACATGGTAAACACCTAACAAGGGATATTGACTCTGACTCTGGCTTCTCTCCTTTCCCTTCCACTCACTAGCAATTCATATATCCTATTAACCCTTTTCTAGCAGGACTCCTAGCTGACTTATCCCATTTTTAAAGGCAAATCGCCTCCATCAATCATTTATTTTGGAGAGGCTGCTCAGACAGATGTTTGCCAGCATACGTTTGGTACATACAGCAGCAGACAAGTCATTAAGCTCACTTGCCCAGACAGGGGTCACTGGATTTCTATTTCCCACTTAACCCTGGAGCTTTTGAGTTTATCTAGACACTGTGTGCTAAAGCTGCATTTGCAGCAGAGAGGGCTAAGCGAATGGTGGAGTTGGTGCCTGCATGTTCTGTGTGTAAAGCGTTTGCTCATCAACAAGCTCAATGGGGCTGCATGGGAGAGTGGTTTCAGTGATAGTGTGTGGCTTGCCAGTGTTATGTTAGGCACTAAAATAAAACACCTGAGTGAAATGATCCAGCTGTGTCAGCCAGATGTGTGCCAAGTGACACAGTCAGCAGGAGCAGCACACCGCCCAGCCATGTAATGGCTTGCCCCAAGCAATACTGTGTTCCTGGCAGGCTGCGTTTCTGTCAGAAGTGACTGTGGCCGGTACACAGGCTTTACCTCTCTCAACTGCCTTCCTAGGCTCCTTAAGCAGATCTGGCCAGCTATGTGTTCCCATTTCTTGGGAAGGGTAGTTGTCCCTCCTCCTTTTCCCTGGGCCCATCCTCCTGTTTCTAGGATGTTTCAGTCCCTCCTTCAGAGGTGAGACAGAAGCCAGGCTGTACTGGGCAACAGGACTGCCACATAAAGCGGAAAGGTGTGAGATTTCCCTGTGTCCCATAGATTTGAGATCCTGCAGAATAACATTTAATTTCCACCATTTTAAAGCAAGTGTTAGTTTGCTAGCTTCCCCCTCGCTGTTTTCCTTGACCCCCAAAACATAAGTCAGTTTAAGACAGCCTTGTGTTTGAAAAACTCCCAGTGTCTTGCTTTCCCTGTCTATAGATCCACTAGTAACGATGGAAGGGAAAGAGCTAGATGGGAAAAAAACATTAGATAATCTATACTAACTGTGTTCAGATCTTTACCTCCACAGAGTGACAGGTAAAAGATGTCTATACATGGATCATATCACCCGTCTTTGCTAAACATCTGCTTCAGAGGGAACAGGGAGTGTGCAGCATCAGTTTACCAGTGCTCAGTAGCTCTATCCTGTAGCTTGAAAGCTTGAAGGGAAATGAAAATGTAGGAGGGAGAAAAAATGATATGCAGTTGGAGAGAAATAAAAGCAATGTACATAATGATAAGATATCAAAAAACATTTTGTTCCTGTAAATTGTGATGCAAATCATTCAGCTAAGCACCCAGGACAGGATATTCTGAATGAGTTTTCTCCTTTGGGGCCTTATGCATTTGTATATAGGGTTACACTTGTGGGCGGAAGAATGGGTGGGTGGACTGATCTGTGAAGTGGAGAAAAATGGTTTATTATAAGCCCTAATGTTCCTAAAGGAAGCCACTCCTCTGAAGCTTCATCTGCAGCTTGTTACTCAAATAGAATTATTCTGAGAAGTTTGGAGATGACTTTTTAAAACTATAGCATTTAAAATATTCTCTCACTATGGGACTATTAAAAAATGTCCCTAACTCTAAACTGGCTCATCTCCTAAATGACCTGGCAGCAGATTTGATTCATTTGTTGGCTTTGCTGAAGGTTGATGACTTTTAGCAAGTATTTGGCATGGGGAAGTTAGGGAATTGCAGAGAGAATAAAAATAGCTCATGATGGACTATCCACAGGGAAAAGGGTAATGATCCATTCCTTAGAGCAAGGCAGAAAAGAGAGGAGAGGTCTGAGAGCTGCAACAGGTGATAATGGCTTAGCAGAGTTGCTAGTATTTATCCAGCTGCAACCAAGAAAAGAAAGCAGGATGTTTCAAAGATGACACTGTATATTAGTGACACTGTCAGATTTTCTAAGGTTTCATTTTTTAGCTCTGTCTTCAGCAAGTGAAGAAAGACACTGAACCTTATTTTCAGTATTGAGAAAGAATTGTGGGCTGCAGTTCCTGCCGATGTTTTGCTGACAAAATTACAGTCATGAGGTTGTCAGGCTTTGCAACTTCCTGGCTTAATGTTAGGAAAAAAAGGAAAAGAAAAGAATCTCCAAACAAGAAATGCTCAAAATATCCCCCAAATTAATTAAAATAGGAAAAGTAAAACAGTCCCCAAACCCAAATCTTCTCCAGCATCCTTTCCCACCTCATTTGCTGTTCTCATGTTGGGTGAGCAAGGACCCTGTGATCTGTTGTGCACAGTCTAGTGAGGGGATGAGAAATAAGAGGATGTTGGCTAAGTTGGGACATGTGCAGTAATGAAGAGCAGCTGCTGCAAACTGGGGAAGGGAGGGAACTGTGTTTGGCCCTTAAGATGGCTTAGAAGCAAAATGGCAGTGCTTATCCATGCTGTGGGGGATCACATACCTCTACAGCACGTTAGGGGAAAAACATCAGCTCCCTCAGGAACCACCACAGCAGCTCACCCCAAAATATCTTTAAAGCACTATTCTGAGGGTGTCAGTGGGACTTGCAGGTTGTCCAGGGCTTTTAGTAGTCCTGGCACAAGTGCAGATTTGGCCTTTAAAGACTCTTGAAATGGAGCTTGTCACTAGCTGGAACCAAAATGGGTCACATCCCCATTCCAATCTGCTCAGTTATACCAGTACAAATCCACCAAAGCCCAAGGGCACTGCCAGAAATACCACATTTGTCTTTGGGGCAGATTCCCGGGGACTGCTAATAAAGAGGTACAAGTGACTCATACAGGGCTTAAGCTGCTGAGCGCTGCTCAGATGATGTTCAGCCTGTTGGAGAACTGGGATCTCGCCAAGGCCAGCATTTGGCTCATTGCTCCGGAGTTTTTCCAAGCATCAACTTTTCATCAAGAATTAAATCAATCTGATGCTTATGTAGAGATGAAAACCAACATTTAACAGAGTGTGCATTTTTAATTTTTACCAGGTATTTTTAAATAATGTGAAATTTCAGGCTGATAGCATGTTTAGGAATTTCCATCGTAATGGGTACTTAGTTACTTCAAGTTACATGTGTCAAAGGATGGGCTAGAATCAAATTACCAGCAGTAATGATAGTGCTGTTGGTATAATCCTGCAATATAAGCAATTTATGCAAACTCCGTTCTTGGCCTCCCAGTATTTTGCTGATACGTTACACATGGAGCTATGCTAGAGGACAAAGGCACCTCAGGCAAAATAGCAACACAGCATCACAACAAAGTCTATGCCCTATACAGTCATTTTAAAAGAAAAGTAAAAGCTGTTCAGATTACACTTATAATTAGCATATGATTTATAACAGGGAGCACTGAGCTGAGCCCTTTGCTAGAAATGAGAATAGGCATGTTCAAAGGTATAATGCTACATAATAATACAGTCTTGGCAGTAAAATTGTAACCTTAATTATTAGTGGTATTGTTGTGGCACTTAAAGGCCACCACTGAGTTGAGGGACCCTTTGTATTAAGGGCCATGCAAGCACAGAGTAAAAGAGGCACCCTCTTCTGCAGGGCAGGCAGGCTATTAGCTGGATTGGACTGA